AACGTATGGTTCCATTTAGCCATTTCATCTGTAAAGTGATGAAACCTAGCTGTCATTTTACTACTGTGCTTAAATTCATAAAGTCTGGGTACTATAGTGGAAAGTTCATCAGAACAATTACCATAAAAGTATTAATAGAAAATGCACATGGAAGCTACATTACGGTGGTGAGAAAGTGACTGACACTGAGATAGCAAGTCAGGACTGATGATATTTCAGATTCTTTGAAGCCAAAATATATTTTTGATTGTAGGAACAATGTAAAGAACTTGTTAGAAAAAAGAGTATTGAAATGTTATAATATCGGTCATCTTTATATGACAGTGAATGCTGGACAATCTCCTCATAGGAGGATGCTGAGAATATCATGGACCAAACATGTGAACAATTACAAAGTTTTAGAAAAAAATGTAAACAAAAAGGAGACTTATACATAACATCAGGAAGAGATAGTTGAAATTTCTAAGGCACATGATGAGGAAAGAGGGCTTGGAAAATTTGATATGCCCAAGGCAGATTAAAGGCAATAGGCACAGAAATACAACATATAGCTTACCTAATGAGCTTGAGTAAATGAATAGCAGAACAAAGTTTAGGAGCAATAACAGAAAGACAAAAATCTACTAAAAGCTACAAAGAAAAGGAAATTGTGGAGAGCCATGATTGCCTACATCCTGAAAGTTAAGCTACTACAGAGAAGAAAGTCAAAATAAAAAAATCAGTAGCACTGGTCTTTAAATTGTAACCCTATTTGCTTATTTGGAGCCCAATTGGGCAACTCTGTCAGGTGACTGTGTTGTTTTGATTTATTGCAAAAAACACTTTAGCTACTTATGTATGTCATATAAGAGGGAAATTCGTTGCCTACATGGCCATCATAATTTAAGTTCTGTTTTGTATATTTAATAAAAATGTTATACTACATATCCCAAACTAAGTTTGTAAGTCATTTTTGTGTTTTCTGGGACAATGTGAAACTTAGACTTGAAAACACTCTGTTTGTGGAAGTAGACAAACAATCAGGTTAAAGACCTTATAAATTCTGTTGTGACATCATACTTTAATAATGATGACAAAACTGTGATTAATTATTGTAAAAATACAAGTGAAGCCCTCATAAAGTTTTTCATTGACTAGACTAATCAGCCCAGATTTGTTTAATTTCTTGTTTGCATTGGTATACACAAAAACTGGGAAAGGCCTGGTCTATGTTCAAGAAAGGAGTGGGAGGTGATATAATGTCATGGTGAGAAATGAAAGCACAAATCCTGTTTATAATACCATATATATTCACGTATCGAAATTATCCTATATACTCGTGCATCATGTGACTTTTGAAGACCTAATTTTGAAGCTAATTTGACTACAGTAAATTGAGATATAGCCAAGGGCAGCGGTACATATGCTAATTTTATATATCATGTATGATGTGACCCTCTTAAAATTATCTTCAAACTTAGGTCTTCAAAAGTTGCATGATGCCTGAGTATATATGATAATTTCTTTTCCATTCACTTGCTGAGTTTCAAGCCAGACTTAACTCTATCTGTGGGTATATAAGTAGCCCTCAGGTCCCATCACTTCTAATTTATACCATGTGACAGATGACTCCTCTATCTGCTAACTCTAACCAAGACTATATGAAACCACAATCAGAACTCCCACTATTCCAGCCATGTATCACTTGATCTCAAAAGTTTTCATTTATTTATTTGCTTCACTTTCTCTCTCCCCGCCTATGGACAGCAGGTGGCCACTATGAAGCTCTCATTTCTAGATTTTACTGTTGCAGTCATGAAACTTGGCCCAGATAAAATCATTTGCAATCATATTATGGATATTCTAAACTAACTGTATAGTGATCCATTGTGCCACATCATTATATATGAAAAGCCAAACTGACATGACCTATCAGTGCATACATGGTGAGGGCAATTACTAATAGAACTGGGAAATTTCTGGTATTACTCAGCAATATGTGAGTGGAGTTAATTGTAACTAATTGTGACAAGCCTATTATTTAAAGGTTTTCTGACTATCAGATGTCAAGCTGAAGTCTTATGGTTAATTTATTAAATTGTATTTCAGCCCAAAATTTGATATGCAATGTTTTTGTTATTTCATCTGTATTCCTTTTATTGTATCAGAATGGTAGTGATATATTAATAAAAAAAAACACTTAATAGAAAATATTAAGACTATATTTTTTTGTACCATATCTTTAAACGTCTACAGCCTTTCTTGTTGCTTAGCACGAGTAGACTTAGTGCTTTTTTACTCAAGTGTCTCATATTGCCCATATCTTTACTCTGCAGGCCTGGTGCTTTTTTCCTTGTCTGTCTCATCTTCATCATGTCTTTGATTAGCAGCCCTGATGCTCTTTTCCTTGTGTCTCTTATCTTATGACAGTTTTATTGGTTGCTGGGAATGGGATGTGTGTGTTAAGTGTATGTTATCTTTATTATTTGGGAGTGATGTGTGTATGTGTATATATTAGTATGAGTGTGTGTATAAGTGTGAGACCTCAACATCTCTGCAAGCATGTCTGTCTTGTGTGGGTTAGAAATGTGGGTAGGGCTTGATTTATGGGGTTATATATTATATGTTAATTCTATCTTTGTTGTTAAATTTGGTTAAACCCATCTGGACAAAGTGTTTTGAGGCGCAAAATCCATTTATCTTCATGTTCCTCTAGTATTTTTCTAAGGTTATATTTTCTGTTCTATTTTTTCAATTATAGTGAATTTTGCATAGCTTTTAAAATCATGTTTTTCTAGGTGGAACTGTTGTTCTACAGGTAATAATCTTTTGTGGGGAGCCAACTTGATCTGATTCCGATAATTATATTATTAATTCCGTAGTGAAATGGCCATTCAGATTTTCCCACATATTGTTTCTGGTATAGTGTGCATTCTAATAGGTAAATTATGTTCTACAGTTAATTATGATACATTTTGAAAGTAGATTTAGTGACTGAAGTAGTTAATGAATGTGTATGTCCAATGTGGTAACAACATAAGATCTTTTGTTGTTACATGATTTGGAAAATCCTGTTGTTTTTATTTTTGGTCTATTATGGGTTATGTTATCATCTGAAATTTGGTTTACTACCTATAATTTCCTTAAGGTTCTTAGGTCTACAATTTGCGAGAAGGCCCAGTTCTTCAAACAAAGTTTATATATATATATATATATATATATATATATATATATATATATATATATATACACACACTTTACAATTGGAATTAAGATATCTTTAGTTAATGACCATTTTCACCTACAAATTTTAATTTTAAAATTCACAGGATATTTCAAACTAAAAATCCTGTGAATTTTAAAATTTAAAATTCGTAGTTGAAAATGGTCATTCACTAAAGATATCTTAATTCCAATTGTAAAGAAAAATTGCTCTGTTTAATGAAAATAAACATTGAGCACTCTTTTGTGAGTCAGTTTTAACATATTTCAAATTCTATGTTGTGTTAATAGGACACCTGGATTATACCGACAGATTTTTACCTTCATGTGTGTATTTATGCAATTTTAAAACAGATATACAACTGCAAGTTCTTAACTTTGGCCTAAAATTTGCCATTGGAATGCAGAAAGAACATATTACAAATTTTATAATACAAAACTATCAGCAAAACGACTCTGATTTCAGCAAAGGGTACATCTAGGATTTAGTAACAGACAAATTTGAAACAACCAGAGGATATAATATGTGTATGAGTTTCCAATAGATGATAAAACTTAATTTATCAATTATACGGAACAATCACAAGAATATGGTGTGTTTGGGATGGGAATTGTTCTTATTATAAGTCTTAGCACCTCAGCATATGATTCCTTTTTCTTTTAAGTCAAGAACCTTCGCCTTTTTATTTAAATAAAACTCTGACTTTTGTTTGGCATATCTGAATTGCCAGCATTACCAGGGTTATTATTGAGTAAAATACTCTCTTGTTTCTAATATGTCTGATGGGAAGGAAAATTTCCATTTTTATAATTTTCTTTTTTCTTTTTTTTCTTTCTCTCCCCCCTCATTCCCTCTGATTTAATCTTGTATTTGCTTCAAAAGAGTACAGTGCAAAGATATTCTGACTAGACTTTCTCTCCCTACAATTGTGCTTTTTTTATCATTGGAACTATTTGTGTTGTAAAACAAAGTGTTCCCAATTGCTGCAGAGACTAAAATTGTTATGCTTTCATTTACAGTTTTTTTTATAAAATAGGTCAAAGACTGTATAATCTGAAAAGTAGCAATAAAATCAATAATGATGCAAATACTGATAATATTCATTAGAATTTCAGCTAATGAAGAAGGCCAAAAACTACATCAGCCTGAAGGTAGTGATGAGGATGCTAGTCTGAATAATTTCCTGAATAATGATGATAGTATTTAATGTTTGATTTGTTTTTTCTTTTTGCTTTCTTTCAAGGATGATTCCTCTGGTTTATCATGGAGGGAAGAGCAAGAGTTGAAAAGGGCTTTGTATGCTTCTTTGCAGGAGAGCAGGAAGCAGAATCGGCAGCAGCAACAGGAACAATTAGAAAACCAACAAAAGGATTCCAACTCTCTGTCAGGCACTAACAAGACCACCACCACTGCCACAAATCACATCTCTGCCACCACCACTACTACTACTACCACCACCATCACCACCACTACCATCAACAGCAATAGCACTACCACTCCTATCACTCCTATTATTACCACAACCATCACCACTGCCACCTTCACTACTGCTACTCACAGCAGGAATAGCCATCACCTGAACAATAAAAACCATCTCAACCATCATACTAATCATTGTCACAATAACACTCACTACAAAGCCAACACAAATAGTGGGAGCCAAGTGCCGGTTTTGGCCACTTCCTCATTCAATCACGTCTCCTCTTCATCATCTTCATCTAACCAGTCTACGTGCAGCAACAATTCTTCAGCATCCACTGCCACGAATTCGGTTGTAGATGAGAATAGCCGAGACTCCATGAAGCCTGTCCTTGGAGTTGGGGCCCATATAAGGTCAGCAAACATAGCAACGGCTGATATCAAAAGGTAAGGAGAACTCTTTTAGATATTACCACCATTATGCTCATTGCATTTTCTTTAAACTACATCTGGCCACAAGACCTCTGATTGGGAGATTGGAGGTTTTGAGGCATGTAGAACCACTTCTTAATTGCCATTGTACCCAGGTTCACCCTAACTTGGGGTGGTAGCACCTGTTAGAGCTATGGGCAAATAGTGAATCTCCAAACAAAAAGAAAAAAAAAACACGAAAGTATAAAAATACCAGCAATAAATTTCATATAAAAAAATTGCCAACAATACCTATTTCTAGTAAAATTGCCAACAATACCTATTTCTAGTAAAATTGCCAACAATACCTATTTCTAGTAAAATTGCCAACAATACCTATTTCTAGTAAAATTGCCAACAATACCTATTTCTAGTAAAATTGCCAACAATACCTATTTCTAGTAAAATTGCCAATACCTATTTCTAGTAAAATTGCCAACAATACCTATTTCTAGTAAAATTGCCAACAATACCTATTTCTAGTAAAATTTACCTATTTCTAGTAAAATTGCCAACAATACCTATTTCTAGTAAAATTGCCAACAATACCTATTTCTAGTAAAATTGCCAACAATATATTTTATTTGTAATTGAAAGCATACAATTGTGTCCAAAATATATTTAGCTGAAGCCATAAAATATATTTACATTTCAGTATTAAATAACTCATAGAGGTTGATATGGTGCTAAACAAAATCAACAGACCAACCAGTATTTTCTTTACATTTATTGTTATGTCAAAGCAGTCAAAAGCAAATTTGGGCAATCTTTTTTTTTTTTTTTTTTAAAAGTACCAACTGAAATGCTTGCAATATCTGTCTATATTTCTGAGATGAGGTATGAAGTGTTAATATTTACACTATTCAGACTATTGTCCTCATCTTCATTGTCATATTCACAACATTTTGGCCATTGCACACTCTCGTCTTCTTCTGGTGATATATACATTGGAATGTCCCCAAGGACACGTGGGCCAGTGGGTAAAAACGTTGGTTGAAGTAATCCAGTGACTTGGCCCAAAGAGTTGTGAGTTCAATACCAAAAGAGATTAACAAAGACTTGGAGAGTTGAATTACTAAAGAGAATTAACTGAAACTAAGATATCCAGAAAAGGCATGGCATGTGGAACTAGAACAATCTACCCCAATGGATGAAAGAAATGGTTTGGTTTGAAACTCCAACATATATCACCTGAAGAAGATTGGAGCGTACAATGGCTGAAATGTGAATATAACAATAACAATGAGGACAATAGTCCGATTAATGTAAATAGTGTAAATAATTGAAATGCTTGCTTTCAAATAAAAACTTTAGTAGGATTGTAACAATAAAATATATTAGCTTCATTCACAAGTTTACAGTATTTATTGACAAAATTTTCATAATTTTGTAGCATCATTATTCAGACAAATGTAATTTTTTTTAACATTGGTACATGTATCAGGTATTCTATTTTGTTTATCAACCAAACATTTAATTTGATTTAAATTTAAAGTTCAAATGCAAAAGGACAATACAGGCTTGTAACAGACAATCTTTGAAAATTTTTAAAAAGAGTAGATACTTTAATATTTCAATTGAAGTAGATAGGTTTGCCTATTGCCTGGTTCACACTCCACTCCAATCTTGTGAACAGGAGTAGAGGTTTATCCCTGGTTAAGATTAGGTTTCTGGCTCCATCTAAAGTTTTTTCATTTTCTTTCATGCCCATTAGCCTGTTGCATCTTAGTGGCACTATTGCGTTGCTTGGGGTGAATTGATTAAAAAAGAAAAAAAGAATTCTTCCAAAAGAATTTGCAGTGCATGCAACAAAAGTACCAGTGGAACTTTTTGTTCAATATGTTCTCCTTTGTTCTAACATGCCATTCAAACAAAGCAATTGCTCATTGGAGAATTCACATTAAGCATTTGTTGAAGCTCTAACAATTCATAATAAAAATTGTCTTTAAACCGAAGACAATCATAGTACATGGTACAATAGGTTGTAACCATGTGTGAAATTTAAAAGAAAAAAAACAACAGGTATCTGTTGGTAAGGTGGAAAATTTTAAAGAAGGCAAAACCATACAACAATCACAACCATATTTGCAACAGGTAAAATTAGCGATTATTGTAACATTTCCAGATCCAAAAATCTTTTAAACCAGAAATTCGAAGTCTTAAGTCCTTGCTTACATATTAGAATTTTTTTTTAAGGGCATATGAAGCTGGATAATAAAAAGTAATTTAACCCCCCACTGATGCATTTACAATACACTTTCTTTTCTTCCCTTCCTCCTTCTTCTTCACATTTTCTTCTTCCCTTTCTATTACTCCCAATGTTGTGTGTTTGTTTATTTATTTTTGAAAATAATAATGTGTCATTCTTTTTTTTTTTTTTTTTTTTTTTTTTTAAATAAAAAAGCGTTAGGTGATTATTTGATAAAAATCACTTGAGGGTATCATAAGGTTGAAACCAAGGTAGCAGATTCAACTGACCTCCTGATTTTTTAAGTATATATAGGACATTGAAGTCAACACCAAAAGGCACAGTCTAAGTGCAATCATCAGGCTGTCTGATGATTTTATATTTACGTATGTCCCATTTCTGATATTGAGCACTTTAACCCATAAGTATAGTATACCTTAAAAAAATATATATATATATATATATATATATATATATATATATATATAATGTGGATTACATCCAACAATTGCTTAATATATTTTGTTTATACATTATTTTAATAGACAGAGCATTTACTTAAATAAAGTGTGTCTTTTTAAACAAATAATATTAATTACATTTACTGGCCTGAATGTTTGAGAAATTTTGTAGAAAATATGTGTTCTCCGACAGAAATCAAACTTGTGTCTTATATGGAACCGTCAATTGATCTGACATGCTATACCACTCAGCTACAGAGAGGCCTGGGATTAGCAAAGTCCAAATTATAAACAGTAATTTGGACTTTGCTAACCAGATACTTCTCTGTAGTGTGTTTTTTGCCTTTTTTGTATGCTGTTTATGTTAACATATTTCATAGAAATCCGTTATATCCTAGATTATTACTTTTATTGCATTAGCATAGGTGAGTAACATAAGTGCTTATTCATGGAAAATCATGGGTATGTTATGACTTACACAGGAAATTGTGTTCTGACACATTGTATGAATGGAAATCTGTTGTAAGTTGGGGATCCCACCCCACACTTATTCTTTATTGTTAACTTTAATATCAATAATAATAAGTATAGTAATAATGACAACATTAATAGATAATAATCATATATAATTGTTTTAAAATTTTTAACCAGGGTTTCAGCAGGTAAAAGTGTGCCCCTTGGGGAGTGTTGAAAAGTTCTTGACCTGACCAAGAAAAAAAAAAAATTCATGTTTGTTAATTTTGAAAATGGATTGAAGCCAATAAATTTTCAGCATCCTCTTGTAAATAATGGTTTCCCTGTTTATGTTGATAAACAAATAAAACTAATTTTCAAGAAACTGCATAAAAAACATGAATATGTGGGGGTGCTGAAAAAAAAAACTTTCTCATGAAGTGAACAAACATTAGAATTTTCTTTTAACCCTATCTTGGTTGGGCTGAGAACTTTTCAGCACCACTTGTCATAGAATAAATTAACAAAAATATAATAAATATATTGCAATCAAATGCACCAGAATTATCGACAAGTTAGTGTATTTTAAGCTTGTTGATAATTTACATTAGAAATAGGTACACATCTCCACTTGAATCTATTCTTTGACAGAAAGAAAAAGAAATAAAACTTGTAATTTAATCAATGATAATATGTTCCTTATTATGCACAAACACATAACATTTGTATGATGGTTGCAAAACTACTACCCTATCTCATAGGCTAATTTGCCATTTTAGCTCATATTAATTAACATATATTGCTAGGCATTGATGTAAAAAAAAAATGCATCACCTGTAAAACATAAATTGTTAGGGAAGAAAAGGTTAAGATTCTTGAGGTTCTGATCATAAAATAAGAAACTCAAAACTAAGTTGTTTTGTTTGCAGATTTTAAATCTATCTCAACAGATTTAGCCAGTGAAATATTTTACTTCTATTATTATGTTATAGGTATAGCATCATCATAATGCACGAATGGCAAAGATTGCTTAAAAAGTACTTAAAAATTAAATAACAGGTAACCTTAACAGTTCTTCCCTGATCTTGATAATGGCAAGACGTATGGTCAAAAATGCTCTATTTCAAGTATTTGGGCAATATTTAAAAACATTGAAAACAGACACATGTATTCTCTTAGAACTATCATTTTTAATTAAACACATATTAATGAATAACTGCAGCTTAAATATGCATTATATGAGGGGGTGTACTTCCCTTTCCACTACAATTCTTAATTGCAGTATCCTTATTGTTAATTTCACTCAAAATTGTTTTCTGTTGCCATAGCAGGATATGACAACACAACTATGAAATTCAAATACATTATTATTCAGGGATCAAAGTCACATTTAGTGGTAGGATAAATGTTTTGTACAGCCAATGAAGTCACAGTGATAAATGTTTTAAAAGAGCAAATAAAAAGTGTCTGTTAAAGTATAATATATCCAAGATGAGTGAACTCATCCAAAAGCAAAGGCTGATGCTTGGTTGAATTTTGCAAAATGTACTGAGCTAAGAACTTTTCAGCCCCAGCCTCATTGTATAAGGGGTAAAAAATAAATGCTGATTTGTGTTTTTTGTTATTTCCAGGACTAAAATTCATGCTCAAAGGAAATTTGCTCAGGGCTCCCTTCCATCAACACCAAATACAACTCCAAACAAAGCCAAAATGTCTCCCCTTTGCCTCCCCAAAAGAGCCAAAACTGAGGACTTTCTCACTTTTTTATGCCTAAGAGGTCAGTAAAATTTTTATTTTATTTATCTGTATACACATATTTAAAGTATAGCTAAGCAAGGATGGTTTGTTTTTTTTTTGTTACATTTTACTCTTTAAATTTATATATTTTTCCTTTTGTGATTTTTTTCTTCTTGTGTGTTTCTTTCTGTTTTGTGCGTGCGTGCGTGTTGCCACTATTTTGTGCGTGCGTGCGTCTTGTCACTGTTTTGTGCGTGCGTGCGTGCGTGTTGTCACTGTTTTGTGCGTGCGTGCGTGTTGTCACTGTTTTGTGCGTGCGTGCGTGTTGTCACTGTTTTGTGCGTGCGTGTTGTCACTGTTTTGAGCGTGCATGCGTTCGTGTTGTCACTGTTTTGTGCGTGCATGCGTGCGTGTTGTCGCTGTTTTGTGCGTGCGTGCGTGTTGTCGCTGTTTTGTGTGTGCGTGCCCAATTGTTTTGTGTTGCCGCGTGTTGCCACTGTTTTGTGTGTGCGTGCGTGTTGCCACTGTTTTGTGTGTGCCTGCGTGCGTGTTGCCACTGTTTTGTGCGTGCCTGCGTGCGTGTTGTCACTGTTTTGAGCATGCGTGTTGTCACTGTTTTGTGCGTGCGGGTTGACACTGTTTTGAGCGTGCGTGTTGCCACTGTTTTGTGCGTGCATGCGTCCGTGTTGTCACTGTTTTGTGCCTGCGTGTTGTCACTGTTTTGTGCTTGCATGCGTGCGTGTTGTCACTGTTTTGTGCTTGCATGCGTGCGTGTTGTCACTATTTTGTGCGTGCATGCGTGTTTTGGGCGGGTTATCACTGTTTTGTGCGTGCGTGTTGTCACTGTTTTGTGCCTGCGTGCGTGTTGTCACTGTTTTGTGCCTGCGTGCGGGTTGCCACTGTTTTGAGCGTGCGTGTTGTCACTGTTTTGTGCGTGAATGCGTGCGTGTTGTCACTGTTTTGTGTGTGCCTGCGTGCGTGTTGTCACTGAATTGTGCGTGCGTGCGTGCGGGTTGTCACTGTTTTGTGCGTGCGGGTTGCCACTGTTTTGAGCGTGCGGGTTGTCACTGTTTTGTGCCTGCGTGCGTGTTGTCACTGTTTTGTGCGTGCGTGTTGCCACAGTTTTGTTGTTTGTGCATGTGTGCGTGTTGTCACTGTTTTGTGCCTGCGTGCGTGTTAGCAATGTTTTGAGCGTGCGTGTTGTCACTGTTTTGTGCGTGCATGCGCGCGCGTTGTCACTGTTTTGTGCCTGCGTGCTGTAACTGAATTGTGCATGCGTGCGTGTTGTCACTGTTTTGTGCGTGCGGGTTGTCACAGTTTTGTGTGTGCCTGCGTGCGTGTTGTCACAGTTTTGTGTGTGTGTGCGTGCGTGTTGTCACTGTTTTTGTGTGTGCGTGCGTGTTGTCACTGTTTTGTGTGTGTGTGTGTGTGTGTGCGTGCGTGTTGTCACTCTTTTGTGTGTGCGTGCGTGTTGCCACTGTTTTGTGTGTGTGTGCTTGCGTGTTGCCACTGTTTTTGTGTGTGTGTGCTTGCGTGTTGCCACTGTTTTGTGTGTGTGTGTGCTTGCGTGTTGCCACTGTTTTTTTGCGTGCATGCGTGCGTGTTGTCACTGTTTTTTTGTGTTGTTTCTTTCTGTTAGTTTTATGTGCATTTGTATTTTGTTTCTGTTTTGTGTGTGTCTGTTTCTTTGTCTTGTATGTGTTGTCTTTCTTTTCCCCTTATCACTTTTTTTAGTTTTTAAATTCCCCTACCCGGCTACTTCATTTTTTTCCTTTTCAATTTCATTATTTGTTAAAAGTAAGAGTTTAAATTTCACCTATTCTATTATCTTCAACAGGCAGCTCAGTTTTGCCATCACATCTGGACTTTTTTAACTACACAAACAAAGACTCCGCTTCCGGAGGAGAGAATAGTCGACCACACACCCCTGCCAGTAATTGTAAACAGCAGCTCAATTCGTCTTCCTCTCGTGCTCAAACACGCGAGAGTTCACCACTTTCCACGGCGACAAGTACCAGTAGCAATGATGATGTCGCTGATGTATTGCCTTCATTTCATGTAAGTTATGAAAGTAGAATCTACCATTCACAAAATTTGTGTCACTTTTCAGATAAGACTCACTTTTTATTGTAAAGTTTTACAAAATTGCTTTTATTTTTGTGATTGCTTCCATACATCAATGTATATACTTAAGAAAAGATTTATCTCCCTTAGATTTCGTCAAATTTCTCGCCCTTAGATCTAAAATTTTTCTTGGTCACATTGAATCTGAAACCAAATGCCATTTGGTAAGGTGTGTATATATATATATATATATATATATATATATATATATATATATATATATATAAATTTTTCTCCCATCTACCTTTATTTCTTCCTCTCCACTGTTCGACATAATTTACAGGTATTTGGACTAAAGTTATAATACTCATGCATCATAACATTTACATATTTTATTTATTGTTTATTTAAACACGTGTCTTCCTTCACACTCATCCGTGTTTGCATCTCAGCCCCCCCGTCTCTCTCTTTCACACACACACACACACACACACACACACACTAA